AAACACCCTCCTCTTCTTCTAAGCCTAGGGTACTGGCTGGCCAACTAACATAGGCCGAGATGCCAGCTTTGTTAGAAAAGATGTAGTGTCCCCACGCTGCTTTCCTTTACCTCCATACTCAGCCACATCTTTCTATCATGAATAGCAAAAAGGAGACTGAAATATTTATAGAAAAAGTGTGACAGGCATATATGGGCAAATATTGGAAGATAAAAGCCAGGACTCCAGTTCACAATGTGAGTTTGCAAAAGCTGCTGAAAGCAAGGGCTGATCTCTGCAAACTTCCAGCAACACTGTGCAGCCAGCAGCTGTCACTGTAAGCAACCAAGAGGAACAGGAGTGAGAGAGCTGGGGGATGCTCCTAGGTGGGAAGAAAGCAACTGGAAAATAAAAACACAGGAGAAGCTGCAATTAAACACTCAGCAGCTCCCCAAAACCATCCCCTGTCTGCCAGGAGAAGCCGCTCATCAAAAAGGCTCAGCTGGCCTTTTAAAATGCAGCCCGAATCTTCCGAGATGCTAAGCATATCTTATCGCAATGGGATCACAGAGCAATAGCAATTCATATCCTGTGCACAAGTGGGATTTAAGATTGGGCAGCCCTTCTGATGCATTTCCCAGGCAGGGCTGAGCTGCATTAAAGGCAAGCAGCGCAGGAAGCCTCTTCCAGCTACCTATTAGCACGTGACAGCTTTGAAACGTTCAAGATCCTCTGCCCACTATCCACATTACTCAGCTGTCAAAGTAAAGGCCTCAGATTTATGATGTGAAAATTACATTTTAACGAGGTGTCATATGTGTTTAAAGTTCTTATTCATCACCATCCCGCCACATCTTTTACCCAAGACACAAATGCACTTAATTAGCATATTATAAGGACAGAGGGTTCACCTTATCTGCATTGTAAAACTGCTTTAGGAGAAGAAACCACCACCCTTACTGAATAAAATGGATGCAGTCGCATGTCAAGAGAGCATCCTGAGATACTGAAGGCAAATGTGAAGGATGAAAGTTTGATGGGCACTCTCTGAGGTTTTTAAAGTATCGCAGATACGGATGGAAGCTTCGTATCACATTTCATCACCAGGCTGGCAGTTTGCAGGGTTAATTTACAGTATACGAAAGCCACTTAAGTGCAAAGAGGCTGCATTACAAGTCGTATATCAAGTCACTATCTTCCTCACAGATAGGGCACATTTATTTATTAACATCATACATCCATTAGCAGCCAATAACGCATTTCCAGGGTCTCCTGAACAGAAACTTACATGGGAAAAACAGAACATCTCTTCAAAAGCAGGATGTCTGCATTTTCCATCCTGCCACAGGGAACAGCCAGTAGCCTAAGCAGAGCTTAACCAGCAACAAACAGCCATGGCCTTGCAGCACTTTTGTCCCCAAGGTTCCATCTCTGATACCTGCATGCCTGCAAAGAGCTCTGTGGCACTGCGTGTCACTGCCAGGACGTGCAAGTTGTGTCCTCATCCTGGTGCCAATTTAGGAAGAGATGTTACTGCAGCTGCCCAGGGAATGGAATGCGTGTGCCCTGCTGAGGGGGCTGATACCAAAGCTAAGCACAGAAACTCCAGATTTTGACACTCATTTACAGTGAGATATAAAAGCCCAATTTTTGCAAACAATGGCCTGGGAAAGCTCTGTGACAGTGAAGATCTCAAGTGTGTACCAAACCTACCTGCACAAATAGGCATTTAATTAAAACGCACAGAAAATGTTTAATCGCAGTGAAGAGTGAGAGGATATGATTCCTGCCTTTCCTGTAAGAAAAAAGACTCCTGCTGCCTTTTTTTCCCTGGATGGTCTGGGAAAAGACTGAAAATGTTTGAGTCTAAGTGATCTGGAGCCTCTAGCACCTGTTTTTTATTTCCCATATCCTCGAAATGTACGATACCAGAGATTTCAAATATGTTTCAAACACGTTAACTGGCTATTTAGGCTGCTAAATATATTACTTTGCCTGTAACAATCAATTTTTGGCTTTAAGAGTTCTGTTTTTTAAACTTCACCCTTAACTGCTTTTTAACAACCAATTTCCTTGACCCATCAATTTTACAATCTTTTATTTTCTAATTAAGCAAATATTGTTTACATATTTTGCTACTCAAGCTGTAATGCTATAGAAAAAAGCTGCAAAATGCATTCTCTCTTTGAACGTCACCCTTTCTAAAGGAACTGAGAAGCTATAGCAATTTTAAAAGAGAAGGGAAAAATGTATCAACAATCTGCTGTTTGTGAAAATAAGTTAAAAGAGGAATCTAAAAATATTTCCTAGGTTTTCACCGCTTTCCCAGTGTTACACAGGCTCCTGTCCCACTCTTTGTTGGAGGACTCATGGCGGGTTTAATCCAGCCACATAGTTACAAGTATATTGCTTATATATAAAGAAATTCAGCATGAAATTTCACATTAGCCAAAAAATGTGTTTCATTGGATCCTTAAGGGGACACTCAGGCTGGATATTAGGAAAAAAATCTTCTCAGAAAGAGTGTTGATGCATTGACAGAGGCTGCCCAGGGAGGTGGTGAAGTCACCAACCCTGGAGGTGTTGAGGAAACGTGGAGATATGGGCATGGCGGGGATGGATTGGTGTTTCTTGTCCAACCTTAATGATTCTATGAGAAAGAGTCACACAGACCTTGTCTACCAGCTTCTCTCTTTTGAAAAGAATTAAATGTTAAACAAGTATTTGCTCCCCTATCCAACTCAAAACCAGTGGTTTCATTTGACTAACTAGTAAAATAATGTTCCCCCTAATCAGGCTGTGCAGGTAATGGAGCACTGAACTCCCTCTGCAAATGCATTCTCCTTTGCTTTGAAGTGCCTCAACCCCATTCGACCTGTCAAATCAAGGATTTCACTTTCTGTCAGTGCAGCCTTCTTACAAAAGTCCTGCAAATCTACATAGCAGTGAGGTAAAGGCACACCAATGCAGTTCTGCCAAACAGACAATTTCAGCAATTTTCAGAGAAAAGAAACGCATGTAAAATTCAGCTTTGTGTCCACGTTGCAAAGCTATAAAAAGCGTACAAAAGGAACAAGAAGGCTTACCAGATTCCCTGACATCAACTTAACCCTCTTTTTCCAACATCCAAAGCCAAAACCTACTTCAGCTTTTCATTTTAGAGGATGGTGGGTTTTAAATTCCCACCCAAACAGTGGTGAAATCAAAGGGAATTGAAATCCCAGCCAAACAGCATGACATGGGAATAACTCAAAGTCTTATGCTGACATTCCCAGCCCTCCACAAGATTTTCATCTGCTCTCCCGTCTCATTAGCTTAGACTCTGCTAGGAAAACGGGATGGGAAGGTACTTAATTTTTTTACCAAAAAAAAAAAAAAAAAAAAAAAAAAAGTACAAATTTTGAGTTTTTCATTAAAAATGGCTTTTTTAAAAGATTTTAAAAGATTTTTTTTAAAGATTCTATTACTGAAAACAGTCACTACTTGAAAAAGAGGCAGTAGAGAGTCCACTGTAATATCTGCAAATGAATCATTGAAAAAGAGAGAAATCCTGTGAAATAGGAGGGATGGAATTGATTTTCACTCCTTGAGGATAACCAATAACTCACAAATTGCTCTGCTTCACTCCACTACTCAGAAAGTACATGCTCATCATTAAGGTGGGAGAATGAAAAGTGTTAGTTCATTTCTTGCTCATTTTAGATCTTGCAGAGGTCAAAATCATTGAAAGGATCCCCACTCTTCCCTTAACCCAGGCTCATTCATTTAGTTCTTCCAGAAATCCTTCTTGTCTTCCTTACGTTTTTGTATCAAAATTGGAAATTCATCGCTCGATTACTACCTCTATTCCACCTATCCTCAGATTTTCATATCCTCAGTTTCTTTCAGCATCTTTTTAAAGTGTGGATGACAGTATGTATGTAAGAAAAGAAAAGCTCATCTCTACTCCTCTTCTGGCAATTTGAATCCACTCTTAGTCTTTCTCATCCTCAAAAAAGAATAGTTTGGAAATAACAATGCTACTAATCATCTAGTTTACTATCTAAATTATGTTACTTCCATCTCTCTCACTCCTTTTTCAGCATCTCTACAGACACGGTCCTTCACAGGAAATACCTGGTAACTCTGACTAAAATAAGTTTATGTACAGCAATAACCATTTGTAAAAGGCTTAGCACAGTTTGGAAATTCTTGCACCATCAAACAAGTATGACCACAGTAAGTCTAAGTCATGTTACTAGCCAAGTGGCAATTGTGAATGCAATACTTGCAAAAAGACGAGGATGGTAATCTTAAGTGACTGTAACTCAAATGAGTAATTAACAGTGTAATTTCTGACACTAAAAGACGTAGAAAAGCTGGACATCCTCTGAGGATGGATAGGGTGGGTGTTCCTCTATTGGAGAAAGTATTCTACAACGTAGACTTGAATTAAACGCTTTGAAAAAAGAGCAACTTGAAGGAAATGAAAAAAAGCAACACTTTGGAAGATTTTTTTATCAGTTTCTCGTCTGATTCTAGACATGCACTTGTGGGTGCTCACATTCACAATAATTAGTGGCTTCTGTAAAAGGCCGACGCTCCCTCATGTTAATGGAATTAGCTCATCTAAACTGGCCTGCAATTTGTCCCATGCTGTTTGCAGCAACAGCATCTTCCATGCTTTGTTTTGTCAAAATTCCTGCAAAAGGGGTGATGATCTTACTTATGGAGCAAACTTCAATTGAGAAGAAAATAGCGTTGCTTTTCCTGTGACGTAAAAAAGAACATGGGCATCTGGAGACTGTTTCAGGTTAGTTACAGGTAGCTTACCTGTTTCTCTGTTTCATTATGGACTAAGATATTAAAAAAAAAATTCTGCATTTATTAATGTCTGAACATCCATCATAGGTATTGCAGTAGGGCTTAATTTACAAACACAGGCAGATCATTACCACAGGATCATGTTTCAATTTCACACCCAATTTGTGAGAAAAATAGAAATCCCAGCTGAGATTTTGTTTCAGTATTAAAACCCTTACCTGTTCTGCTGTCCAGTGGGCCAAAATCCAAGGAATACTTCACTACGTGATAGTTGTTCCATACGTAGAGAAGGTTGTCCCGGGGATTATAATCCACAGCAGCAATGTACTGATAGGAGTTTGGAAAGGGCACATCCACCATGCTATCCTTGCTTTGGTCAGTGTTATATATGTAGTCTATTTTATTCCCCGTGGCTTCATTGTCATCATCTTCATACACAGACTTGACCACATATAAAATCCCACAGATCATAAAAGCGTTAGAAGCTGACCTCTTGTCATAGGCAGTATCCCACGTCCCTTCAATCCTTAATGTATAAGGGTTTAACTGGCTAATGACTATTTTGCCATTATTTTGTTCTGTTGCATAGATTACCCATAGCCCATTCTCATCCACGGCCAGGTCTATATCAGACTTGCCTCCCCAGCGGTAGGGAGAGGTGTCATGGTAATTTGCATTAGCTATGATAGCCTCCCCGCTTTTTATCCTTGTCCGCAAGTCAAACTTGACTATATTTCGGGTTCGCTCCTTGTTGAAGAACAAAGCCCCATCGTACACCACAAACCCTGTGCCGTCCACTCGGTGCGGGAGTTTGTAGGTCGTGGTTGGCCTCCCAGCGATGAAGTCATCCTTGGAGGAGTACTCTGTCAGTGTGTCTGTTCGATAAGGTGTCCAGGGCATGTAGTAGATCTTGTCAGACGCCTGCAGCGGGTCTTTGCACCAGGCACCAGACTGGTGGTCGGATTCAAACAGGTGTTCGCTCTGGTATACTCCTTTTAGCAGTCCAGGGCAAAGGAAAACTGTTGGAGGGGGAAAGAATTTAAAACAAAAAACAAAGTTAATGAGACTCTGGAGGTGGTTGGACCAAACTTCGAAATAGTCTGCAGTTCTGCAGCAGAGGACACTCGAGGTCAAAGCAATGCCCTGTAACTGGAGACCAGCCATCCTGCTGGCCAAGCCTCTAGAACAAGACTTGCTCCACCAAATTTATTGTTTTTCTGCTTTTTCTATCAACTTTGGCTCATTTTCTTATTACTTTTCAAATCTATTTTTACAGGTGTACTTACTTGGACCGCTTGCCTTTGTAAACTCTGAAATGAGTATGTGCCCCCAAAGGATTTCTGGGTTTCTATTTCCAGATTACATTGCAGTGAATCTGTACCTACTAGGTGAAGGGTTAAACTCCAGGGGAATTGTTCCACATAGTTATTTTGAACAGCCCACTGCAGAGTGGCCTAGAAATGGAAATAAGAGAAAGAAATTCCCATCCTTACGGCCCAAGCGATATTAAATATTTAAGGGGTACCAATAGCAAAGCAAAGGAGAATCCCTTAGCAACTCAGAAAACCATTTAAAGCAAAGGGAGCGGGAGAGGGAATACCCAGCTACAGACCAGTAGTGGAACTAGAAATGAGACTTCTGAAGCTGCTACAGGACACACGAAACATGCAGTCCACACAATTAAAAATGAATGATGTATGAAGGCTGAAAGGAAAAGGAAGGAAGGAAGAAAGAAAGGAGAGAAGGAAGGATAAGAACTGGAGAGTTCCACTGGAAAGGAACCCGAGGTTCTTGATTTTAATCAGTTAAAAAATGTCCTGTTAAATATAGTAGTAACTCGTAACTTAAAAACATATACCTTCTATTGTTACATGAGAGGAGCACAGAGGAGCGGTTTGACTAACTGGGGTGCTTTGCTGCTCAGACTTCTGGGGGGGAGAGAGGGGCCGGCTCATGGCTGGGGCATGCCCAGGGCTCGGGAAGAGGTCAGTACTGCCCGGCTGATGCTGGCATCCCAGGAATGCCAACGCCGAGAGTCTGGCCGGCTGCATGGGGAGACAAAAGGGGCACAGGAGGGATGTGCAGAGAGAATCAGGCTTGTCGGCCTTCGTTGTGCACCTCAGCATTCTCTGACCCGGAGGGCTGCACAGGCTTCAGGGGGAGAATATTTGCTGGTTATTTGCAATAGCGATCTTCAGGAACTCGAATAACCACCAGGATGAGAGATGAAGTGGGGAGCTGCAAAGAGGCGTCCCACCCAAGTTTCTGGTAGCACAGAGCTGGCAGATGGGATCCTGCATTTGTGCTCCCCGCTTGGAGTGTAACCAATTATTTTCTAAAATTCAGAAATCGGTAATATCCTCTGGAGAGGGAAACAGGAGGAAAATCAGATTTAGCAGCTGGTGTAAAAGCATATTGCCTTACTGGAATCTCAGAAACCACCGCAAGTAGCTGACAAAGGGGTGCCATTTCTAAAAGGCTTTTGCAGCATAATTAGATATACTTATGCACATACATACGTGTGCATGCTTTCCAAATTCTTTGGGGCAGGAGAAAAGTGAATTATCTAAACCGTTGAAAAGAAATTCAATGAAAGAAAGTGGTACCGGTAAAACTTTTCAGCAAAAATGAGTTATCTCATGAAGTTGAGCAGCAGAGAGACTAAATAAACTTTAACAAAAAAGTAGTGAGAATTAATGACAAAGTATTTCAACTAAAACGTTAAACTGTTAAATAACTTAGCCTACACATAAGTAATATATATATAATTTGAAAGGTATTTAATTACCTTTTTGCTCCACTTCTATTGTAGAGAGAGAAGTAAAGAGAGAAAGGAGAAAAGAGAATAGATTAATGGTACTGTATTGGCTAGGTACTTTTCTTTACCTCTTTCATATGAAAAGGAAGAATTTATAATTTACTTTAGATACTGCTACAGTATGTGAACATATTTTATATATAGATATATTTAAAGCCTTCCCTCTCATATACACTGGATAACATGCAGACAAGCTGAAAAAAATACAGACATAATTTCACTTTATAAAAGCCTTTAAAAGGAAGAAAACCAACACTTTGAGACATACCAAGTTCCCTAAGCACTCTGAGATACCTCAGTAGCAGCAGCCTTGGACTAAGTTCATGGAACAAAATGAAATACCCGTACTCTGAAATACGACTGATCCAGATTTATGTAAGAGAATGAACTCTTCCAGGGAGAAATTCTATGAAATATACATCATCATATATTTTGCCAAAATCCTGTAAGTTAGAGATGCCTACTTTATTGAGCAGGAGAACATTTCCTTACGAGACTTATAGAGAGCTTAGGTAGTGAAATGGAACACATTCATAGACATTTGCAGAATCTTGTCTTATGTCTCAGAAAAACATACTTCAGTACGAGTCAGAGGAAAAAAAAAACACAACATTTTAAATATTGCAATACTTACATGATTGTCAATGAGAGTCCAAAAACTTATAAGGCTAATGAGTTAAAAATATCTAAGCATTCTTCAAAATGTCCAACCCCACAACCTGCAGGATGTTTTCACGTGAATTATTAACCACTCATAATAAAGCTGCTGAAGAGGCTGTGTCCCTTTGGAGAAAGCCCCTTGCAGACAGAATAAATAAATACAGTACATGTAGTAATCACTAAATGCTCAGTTATAGCTTCCATAGCTAACAAGGAGGCTCTGGGGGCCCTCATCCGGAGGCCTCCTGTGGTTGTGGCACCAATCCCTTCTTTTCACAGCCCACTGTGGCTGCAGCAGCAGCTGAGCACAGCTATTCAAGAAGGATTGGGGTCCTGCCTGCATCTGCTCAGTGTTTGGCTGATCCACTCAGGGCAGGATGCTGCTATAGGGTCAGCATGGAGCTGGTGCACCAGTTGGATCCCTGTAGCACGAGCCTGTCCTGTGCTAGCTCATGAGCCAGCTGCCAGTATGAACCATGCAGCTCTCTTTTCCGAGTGCCTGCCTCTCTTTCAAAGGACACATGGAAAACCATGTGCCAACATACTGAAACATCCAGATAGAGCTCCAGTTGCTGACTGTGATGCGTTTTGTGCAGAAAAGCTCAGGGCTCCTCTGAAAAGTCAGAATATGGCAGTAGAAAAGCAGGCCTCAAACACCTCCTGCACTTCCCACCCTCAGGTTTGCTGGTTCTGCAGGGCCTCTTCCCAGAAGGAATAGGAGCAGACAGGACCCATGAAATATCACCAAGGGAGAAGCGAGAACTTGCCAGTAAAATAGTATGGTTTTGACAGCTGAGAGATCTCTGTTCAGAGAAGCGAGACAGGAATGTAAAGGTATGCACACGTGCTTTGCTTTTGCTTGCCCAGAGCTCACTCCATCCCTTTCCAGACTGAGACACTTGCCAAATGACTGTCCTCCAGTGCTGTGACTGCAAATCCCTCGTGTTCAAAAGTCTCATTCATTTGGATGGGAAACTGCAGTCTAAATGGAAGATCAACAGGCTGAATGATTCCAGGGTGAGACTGCAAATGCATTGGCTAGACACACAGGTCTGTACTTCTCCATGTGCAGAGATGCATGTCCAGAGCCAGCTATGTAACAGCAGCTCCCAGAATGAACATTTCCAAGCTTCAACAGCCTTTTCACCTGGGCTTTGATTCAGGCTCTTTTCTATCTTACAGCAGGTTGAGGTTAAAGGTAAATGTTTTCACCATGTGGCTGCCAGGACTTTAGCAAGCAGAGACAACACTTCAGTGCAAGCACCTGATTTTGCAAGGGATAAAGCCAGCAGGACTAAAAGGCACCAGACCAAGCAACTGGAGAAACTCACACAGAAATTGCTCTCCACGTCCCAAGCTGTGGCTATAAGGTGTTAATAAAAACATTAAATTTCTCTTGCAAAAGCAAGAAAGTAACATGACAGCTCTTCCAGCATATGCCTTCACACAAGAACACTGATTCTTCTGGTCTGATGTCCTACTGTACCTCTGGCAGCGCAGAAGGCAGTAATTCAGGTTTCAAGATGAGCAAAAACTTTTGTAATGCACTCCAACAATTACGCAGTGTTGTGAAGCAGGAAGAGGGAAGCTTTTGCAGGAGATAATGTATTCATGACCAGCTGAGCTGAGTGACCCGAAGCACTGATTCCCCTTATCCTGAATAGCTTGAACATGTTATTAGTGGCCAGTGCCATAGCCAGTTCTGTTATAATTCCAGACATTGTACATGTTCTGGTGAGTTCCTGCACGGTGCTCTTGATGCTTTCCATTGTATGCATTCCAAATATATACTTTCCTCCTGCTGACTGAAGACTTAATGCTTTTGAATTTCACTAATTCCACCACTTATACTGGGGGCAACTCTGTATTATTCAAACAGGTTGCGAGAGAAGCTTGAAGGGTTTAACTTGTTGAATTGAATCAAAAGAAAAGGTAGAATTGGGGTCCAATAATCACATCAATTGTGCAAAACATCACCGCAAATCTATCTTCACGCAGCAGTGACTGAATTTTTCTAGATTCCAGTTAATTTTACATCTCAACAGTGACCAAATACCATAAAAGTGCCAGTTTTCAGCATTTAAAAGCTCCTTATAGCACAGGAGGCTATTTACCTTCCTGAAAGGATCTAAGATAAAAACATCTACATACAGTTCTTTCTTTTACAATGAGATCTTCTGCTCCTACTATTGATACAATATTCATGTGAACAGAACAAGGATATTTCACCTTGATTTCCTAAGTTGCTTGCAGGCTGGTGCCATTGGCTTCCGAAAAATGAACGGTTGGAAGGAAATCAAGAGCCCCTCGGTGAATCTGCAGGAAGTTACAAGACTTTCCACGCACCCTCACTATCTCCCATTTCTTCTGATGGAAGAAAACCCAGGTCCAACATGTGACTATTGACCGCTAGAGCCTGCTGTGCCAGAGCTGAGTGATCCGACAGGTTCCCTGCCACTCGTTTGGAGAAATCACACAAACAAATTAATTAAATGCTCTCAACACCACTGGGTAGAGGCTCTGAAAACATACTCCTAATTTCCGGCACAATTAACACTTGAACAACATTAACTGCTCATTTTCTTACCACTATGTTGAGTTGCACTCAACTATTTAAAGCACAAGCATACCATGACAGTGGCAAGTCCTGTAGAGAGCCTTCTCTCTGGCACCACTTCAAACCCACAATATGAGCAGAAAACTCCTGGATAAAAATGATCTAAGCAGGGGGGAAGTTCAAATACAATTGCAAAAGTAAATAAAAAGTTGTGCCCTGTGTTTTACCAGCTGTTGTTTTTCAGGACAGATGTTTAATAGCAGAGTAAGTGAAATCCAATCCCTGTTGCTGTCCTTCCCTGATCAAGCTTAATGTACAGAGACTCAGCATTAAATTCATAGTTAACAATGAAATTGAAGGACTTTGAAAGCAGGTTTCTGAGGCTGACCTTAGTATAAAATGCAGTGTTTCAGTCATGCTGAAAGTGCTTCTTGCCAGATGTAACTAACTACTGCATCCTTCATCTACCAACCATCTTGACCAGCTGCATGTGGAGGTCAAGTCAAAAAGTCTAATAGTAGGGAAGAAACAGGGGAAAATCATCTCCAGAAGGCACAGTGCCTTGTCCCAAAACACTACCCATCATGCAAGATAGTAACTTTCCCATCATTTGTACCTGAGCCCTAATGAACAAGGCTCAAGCACTGAGCTCATTCTAATGTGAAAAAGTGAAGCCTGGAAGCTCCCTCATGCCAGTGCTCCTCATGACAATGGTCTTGGGTTTCTCTTCTCAGTCTCTAGAATTAATAAGAGTGTTGAGGGAATGCAGCAGTCAACAGGCCAGATCAACATGTGAGGGACACACAGACTACAACAGGGCCATCAGTTTCTTGCATGTTCCTCTGGTCCCTCACTCCGCATCCAGCCAGTGAAGCTGAAGAGAAAGGTACCAGTAGGTGTTTCTAGAAGGAGTTCCAGTGGGAAAAGCTGTTACATAGATTCTAACTGGGCATCAGAGTTATAGCAAAGTTGAACTTTGCAGAAGCTGCTCTAAAATAAATACATCTAAATCCAGAGAATGAAAACAGGTACTTTTATTCATTCGTACTTAAGAACACACAACTCCCCACTCATTTTGTTTGCGAGAACAGTCAGACAGCTAGATCAGATTGTACATAAGCCATTTTGGCAACCTGAAGTTCAAAATGCTGTAGAAGGATAAGTCTCTGCTTTGTTTTCTTCTCACAGCACATAATTAAAAGGGCAAAAGGAACCACACAGCCAAGCTCACGACTCTGTGAAGCACACCAAAGCAGGCAGGATCATTTGTCTCACCCAGCCACTCCTTTAAGAAAAAGCCTAGCTGTGTGGCCCCTGGACCTTGATCTCCCTAATAATGGGCAGTATTAAAGCAGCAAGTTGGAACTAGCAGAGGGTTCGATGACATTCTGATTTTCGAAAGCAATACAGTGCATGGCAGGTTGGTCTTTGGTCTCTGTCCCTTTAGAGTTTCGTTCCACAGCTACAGAAGACACAAGCCTTCATTCTCATCAAGTTGTCCTCAATACTGTACTTAGCTCCTATCCTGTTTGCCCCAGTGAAGTACTTATTATACGAGCTTTTAATGTGAAAAGTTTTGATGCGCAACAGGAGAAACTCTCATGTGTCTTGGCTCAGGAGCAATCAGAGAATGGAAGAAGTAGGTTTTCTATTTTGCAAATATAATTGCTATTATTATCTTCCCATTTTTTGCCACTATTTTACCACTTCTTTTCTTCTTTTACTTTGCCCTCAACATGACAAATTTACTAGAAACCATTTCCCTTAC